TGTTTTCCTAAAACAACGGGATCTTAAGCGAACCGGGATCGTAAGCGGCGGGATCTTAGGCGGAGACTACTGTAATACTAAAAACATAAGAAATATTTTACACAGTATAAAGGCAGTAAGAACAAGCAAGGTCTACTTAGGTTTCTTACAATGTCTGGTATTCTCTAGGTGTGTCCAAAAGAAACTGAGGAATGTTACTAATACACTTGTTTGCTTGCGCTAGATATTAATAGCATAAAGCACATTTTGTTCATTTTGGAAAGAGTTTTACGGCGCTTGCAACTGCATAAGGTCATATGATATGTGAGGCGTGCTGACAAAATGGGTTACTTCTCTTGATTTACAAATGGAGTTGTCTACTGAAAATAAACTCATCAAGTTTGGAGACTTTCAATGTATGTCATTTTCTTCTAGTTTAGTTTAGTTTTAGTAACAGTTTTACGGCACTTTCAACACTATAGGGTCACATAAGTGCCGAAGATTAGATGTGTGACAAGAGAGAAACAAATATAAAAAAGAAGGAGAGATCAGGACAATAGGTGTATGACAGGAAAGAAGGAGCAAACCACACCAGAGCACCCACCATCCACCCACTCATTTTCTTCAAGTAAAACATGTCTTTTATATTTTTATAAAATAAGTTGTACAAACCCAACCAATAAAGTGTGCAAAGTATCCATCTGTGTTCATTGGGTTAAAATCCGAGGATTAACTCTTTATTTCAACACACACTAAACGTGTTTTAAGTTTTTAACCCAAGATTCACAAGGTCCAGCAAGCCCTACACTGCTGCCATTCACAAAAAAAAAAGACGTCACATTCATTTGATAATTGTCTAAGTCATTTTTTGGCATTTACAGAAAAATAACGAAAACTGTTGCACTTACAAAACAGACATGACATATATAGTTTTTGGTTTTTTTTATTGGGTTTTTAAATAAAACAACTTTGACAGAAATCTGGGGGACTAATCAAATTATCCAGATGTGGCTATAGCTCAGTTTGCCCCCAAAATGACTTAGGCAATTTGCCCCCTTAGAATTACAAAGTTCTATCTGACATTGTTGGTTGTTTTGAATCACTACGTCCATGAGGTCAGAAACCAAATGTTCTATTTGCTATTTCAAAATCATAAGATTATTCCAAGTCGTTATCAAGATATTCAAAAATTAGCATTAGAAAAAGCTGAGAAACTCTAAATTTTTAACATAACATTTCTCAAAACTAGGTACTGAGCAGAGTAAACTTTGTAACTCTGAGTTAATGAATTATCGAATGACCGGGACGATGTTTTCCTCACCTGGCGGTTTGACCGGGGCTACTGTCGTTGCTGGTGGTAGTAGAGTGGAGGCCTCTGCTCCTGCTGCCGGTGGCTCCCCCTGGTGGCACACTCTCTCCTTGAAGCTTTTGGGCGGGCTGCTGCTGGCGTCGGGGATTGTGTGTGCACAGGGTAGCACGGGGATGGTTTCCTCGTCGACGAGAGTTCGCTCGAGCTGGTCCACATACATTGTTGTCCCGTACGCGTTCAGCTTTGCTTTTGATTTCACCTGCACATAACAAGTGATGACAAAAACTGCTTTTTGTTTTGCAAACCTACTATCAGCAAACTGTCATACAAAAGGCTAAAGGAAAAAAAAATGAGGAAAAATAAAAGGGAATGACAAACACCTCACAAATCTGCAGGATTTTAATTTTTAATAAGTGTTTTACGGCACTTGCAACACAATAAGGTCATAAAAGTGCCGAAGATTAGAGGTGTTACAAGAGAGTAACAAACACAAGAAACAGGTGAGATAAGGACGAGATAAGGAGTTAACCACACCATAACACCCACCAACCACGAGAACTGCCTTTTGTTTTGCAAACCTTTCAGCAAAGTGTCATAAAAAAAGCTAAAGAAAAAAAATTGCCGAAAAATAAACAGGAATGACAAACACCTCACAAATCTGCAGGATGAGAAATTGGATTCACAGTCACTAGATTTTGGATTCCATCCCTTTGGGAAGGAAGGCTTGATGAAGGAGTTATGGTGAAGTCATTAGAGGACAAGCATAACTTTTTTAAAATCTCCAAGTTGAGAAGAGTTCAACTTTCTTTTACAAGGTCATACTCTACAAATTACATCAGTTTTATTAGTAATAAAAAAGGACAAAAAATAGAGGTTAAACATAAAGTTACTAGTGCAGTAGTGAAAAGACCCCATACAAACTTGATGCACCCTCCTCCAAAAAAACAACAACAGCCCCCCCCTCCCCCCAAAAAAAACCCCACATAGAGAAACAAAAACAAAACAACCCCCCCTCTCCAACAAACCTAGTAGTTCTTATGACCACCACTTTATTTCGAATGCTTTATTTCGAATACAAAGACTTCCAAATCCCAATTATAGGCACTGAATAGATCATTTCAAAGACTGAGATCTCGGTCCCCAGAGAAGATACAGACCAGAGATGGGATGAGTCCTGAGGGGCTGAACATTTTAGATTCAACATACAATCAATTAAATCTTTGACTTCAATGTCCTACACAGGCTAGTTTCCTACTGTTTACAGCAAAATTGCCTTTCTGTATCGGACCTGCCTACCACTCCATGACTAAAAGTAAGACTTTACTTCAAAATCCTTTAACTCTTTGAACCCCATCAGACGCTGGGAGCGTCCATCAGACGCTGGGAGCGTCCGGCGGTAATAACCATGTTCCCCAACGGATGCTGGGAGCGTCCAGTACTAGTGACAACTGTCTCATTTTATTTAGTGCTAGTTTTTGCTAGTTTTTCGGAACTATTCCCGAACCAACTGTTTTAGTAATGACTAAGCCTTTATTTCCACTATTTAGAAGTTGGAGGCAAGCTTTCGGGGTTATAATGAGACAAAGAACTAGGTTCAGGTGACTGTAGAAAATAACCCAGGGAAACGGTAAAAAACTCAGGGCTTAAAGAGTTAAAAGACAGGGCTTAGGAAAATATAATTAGTAACCAAAACTCCAGGCCCTGTAAGCACATTAGTCAATATAGTAGACTAATTGTGTTTATTCCCTATACGGGCGTTTAGGCTGGAAAAATCCGTATGCTCGTCAATCTGGTTAGCCTGTCCTATACGAATTTTCATGTCTAAAGTTATCGCACCTCTGCGTGTAAAAACGGGTGCACTTTTGTTTTTCCAAGCGCGACAGCGGCGTCTTCTACGAAGAAACCAGATTTCCAGGGACCGTACTAATCCTTTCGACTTGTGCGACGACAGAGAAGTGTTCGTCGGGAGCACATCCTGGAACTGACACATGAGATGTCAACTGACATCACTCTCGCCAATCGTGGATTCACCATTACTCCCCTGCGGTAAGTGCTCGTCACTTTGCGCTACTTGGCCACCTCAACATTTTCTCTGCCATATCTCCCTCTTCATCTCACTGTTTATGGCGGCCTTGTGGCTACTGAAAAAGGTCACATTTTCATTTTCTACTTGCAGCTCATCAACTAGTATTAATTGAATTTCCTTTGCATTGAAGTTTCGCTTTTCGAACCCTTTTTGTGACTCTCTCCGCCATGCTGTACAGTTCAGAAACTCCCACATGTAGTCGGAAACCGAATGTCCGAAAGCACACAGTGATAGCGGAGTGGGTTTGCCCAGTAATCTATGAATATCTCACCTTGCACTTTGCGTTTAGCCACACATTTCAGTTTATCACGATGTGCATACAAAATCCGGTTAGGGTTCATAAGCGGTTAGGGCCTGTATAGCTTACCGCGTTTAAGCTCTAACCGTGTTTAAGCTCACCGGTTCTGACGTGCATACAGGCCCGGTGAGTTAAAATCATGTAACACACTGACTGAATCAAATAGAATGTTTATTACAAATACACGCAAATTTATGCAAATTAAAATCTTCATTTCCACATCATTTACAATAGATCAATAATCATGCAAAAATTGCAAGTAAACTCAAATATAAAAGTGTATTTACGATATGTCACATATGGCTTGACAGAAATAGGATTCAAGAAAACAATACGATTTCATACACATCTGAATCAGTGTTCTTCAACTAGCAAAAAAAGTTTTTAAAAATCAGGCAGCTCCAATTTATCCAATATTTGACAGGTATGCATAAAACCTTTTAGCTTCGGCTGCCACCCACGCAAAATTCAAAATTTCCTACCAATTGAAAATGTTTGGGGTGTCCCATGCGGTCATACGACCTAATGTAGTTGCGAGCACCGTAAAACACATGCCAAAAACAAAAAAAACAAAAAAAAACCCCTCTTAGTCTGCTGAAGACATAGATGTGTCACGGTGCGGTGGAATGAGACACTCCTCAATTTTTGGGCAAATGGAGTTATTGATATCATCTTAAAGCTAGTTTACTTGTCTTGTTTTTGGTGACAAAATACCAATCAATCTTGAATAGAAGTCACTTATTCGCAATTGAAGGAGGTTAGGGTTGCCTAGAGTCAGTGGTAAAATTAGTGAGAAAATGGCCCCCAATTTTAGGAGACTTTCACAGTTTGAGTGTCCTTGGCAGCTGAAAATTTACATTCTTTGTGCCTTTGATCAATATTTTCTGTAACATCCATACAGAAAGTGTTTTTAAATGGAAGTAAAAGGTGTTAAGCCTTGAAAAAAATAAAACAGAAAAAAAATGATGCCCATCAGACAGAAAAATGCTTGTTTCTTTAATTTCATTATATTTTTTTTTTTTTTTTTTTTTTTGGGTAATGTTTTACGGTGCTCGCAACGGCATAAGGTCATGTGGGTGCGCGGGACACACCAAACATTTTCAACTGGTAGAATATTTTGAATTTTATCGCGGGTGGCAGTTGAAGCCTACTCTTATCGATTTTGAACAACCAAGATTTTTCGCCCTTGTCCAAGAAGGTTAGATGTAGATTTTTCCTACCAGAAGATCAGGGATGTGGCTGAAAGACAGCAGTAAGAAAGAGCCAAGGAGTAGCAGTAGAAAGGCTGCAGAAAGAGTCAGAAGCCCAGTGAAGGGGGCAAAGGAGGTGACAGCATGGGGGAAGAAAGTGGAGACGAAAGCAGACGACAGAATATTGCAAAAGAGAAGGGAAGAAGGTGAAAGGAGACAACTTTAGAGAAAGAAATTTTTCCTTCGCTCCACGGATTCGAATCCGGTACCTTTGAATGAGAGGCAAAACACCTTAACCTCTAGGCCACAAGAGCCCCCTTCATTAATTTGATGAGCACCCGATTTCACGACAATGCACTCACAGACAGCGTGACGTTCCCGTCATCTTGCTTCTCAAACTTAAAGTCCAGCTCCGGTGAGACATTGCCCAGAGTGCCCAGTGGGATAGTGAAGCCTGGAACACACGTAGGTCATCATGTCAGTGGTTTAGTCAGACTTTTTAGTTTAGTTTTGGTAGAGGTTTTACGGCGCTCGCCACTGCATAAGGTCATATGAGCGCCAGAGGATTAGAGGTGTTATAAGAGAGTAGCAAACATAATATATAAAAAAGAAGAAGGGGAAATAAGGATGTTTGATAGGAAAGAAGAAGCAAACCACACCAGAGCACCCGCCAACCACCCACAGTAAGACTTTTACAGCACTTGCAACACAATAAGGTCATATAAGTGCAGAAGATTAGCGGTGTTACAAGAGAGTAACAAACAGAAAAAGAAGGAGAAGAGATCAGGACGATAGATGTGTGATAGGAAGGAAGGGGAAAACCACACCAAAAAGAAATATAGACTGGATTTCTGTATTATAAGATGGATGAGAAAGGGAAAAAGAAAATAATGCCTGCCTATAGCTGCAAGGTACACGACTGCAAATAGTTTCAATAGCACTTTGCTTTTTAGTGTTATTGGAATCTTCAAATATCTTTCGATTCCGAACCTTTAAGTTAATAAATTTTGGAGTTACTTCCACAAATACATGATGCGCCAGCCTCACAAAATAGAAGACAGAGAGCAATTCAGTACATGAACTATTAGCTGGAGGGTAGAAGCAGAATCAGACATGACACCCGTATGTCAGTTTGAATCTCATCAGGGACCCGATGTTGTGTCCTTGAGAAAGGCACTTTACACAAATTTTCCTCACTTCACCCAGCACTGAACGTTTCTCGGGAAGCCGAGAATGTTTCTGAGTGTTCCAAGGTCTGCTGGTGTATTAATTAAGGGCAAAGCGTATAGAGCTTGTTGTCGAGCAGGGATATGTGTTATACAAATGCTATCAATTAATTATTACTAGCTGGGTATCCGTTCGATGAATGGACTCTAAAGAATCGATCGTCAAGTCATTATGGAACCAGTACGCACAGCTGGTTAACGGAAGCTTCACTTGTTTACAATGGCATCTTAGAAGACGGACTTTCCCAATATTAGATCTTTGACTAAGCGAAACGAATGAAAAAATGTAAATTAAACTACAGTGACTTCAGGCTCCTTGATATAGCTGTGTACCCTTTAAAAATGATTCTGAACCACCGTTTATTTTTTCAAATTCGAAAGTTGTGTGGTTCTGAAGTTTTAGGCGACCAAAGTGACGAACTTCCACAAAAATAATATATGGACTACCTGGTATCGCCACATTCTTGTCCTCGCTGATGCGTATGTCGTGGTCGATATTCCAGTGGGGTAGAACGAGATAAAAGTCTATGGAGATAGGACTGTTGCAGGAATTGAGCTGCATGCCAAAGCAGTAGTCAACTGCAATAGGACCTTGTCCGTGCCTTGAGAACATAAAATGCTGCAAAAAAATAAAATAAATAAATAAACAAATAAAAGAACTGCCCATCCCTCCAAAAACAGAAGTATTCCTCAGAAGCTTCCCTAAAAATTGGAATTTGGGAAAAAATTTTACCAGAACCCCAATAGGTTCAGTTTACATTATAAAATGATAGAGGCAAATAATGTGCATTGCAAATATGCTTTAAATAAAACAAATGAAAATGTGTATATTTGCATAATTTATGAAAAATCATGCAAATAGTGCAAATAAATGCAAATAAACTGTATTCATATCATTTTTGCTAAGTTGCGCACAACTGATGGAAATGGAGTTCAAAATAAATAGGAAAAAATTGGATTTTGATGCAAATCCGGTTGGGTTTTTCAACTTCCATAGAAAATTTTTTTTAAACTTAGAGAACTCTGGCTTTTTTGGCTCTTGCAACACAAATAAGTTATAAGACAAGTGCCAAAGATTACAGTTGAATAGAGAGTGACATACAAAGAAAAGAAAAGGTAACGGTGGGGTGGGGTAGAAAGGGGAGAGGGGGTCGGGGGGGTTACCACTTACTGAGAAACGGATTGATCCAGAGCAATCCAGACGAGTGCAGTTTGGTGCTGGAGGACTTGTACAAGTCTGAGTTCTTCCAGAGCCTGTCAGCTGAGTCGCTATCTGACTCCACTTGGCACAGACGTTTTCAGTTGCTGTCTCATGTTCAGCCACTAAAGAGATCAGATACAGTACAAAAGACACATATATATGATAGAATACATTGTGAGGTCAAACCCTGTTAGTAGGTTGTTGGCGGATGCTCTGGTGTGGTTTGCTCCTTCTCTTCTATCAAACATCTATCATCCTGATCATCTCTCTTACTTCTTTTTTGGGTTTGTTACTCTCTAGTAACATTTTTAATCTTTGGCATTTAAATTTAACTTTATTGTGTTGCAAGTACCGTAAAACTCATAACAAAACAAAACAAGCCCTGTTAAAATGCCAACCCTGAGATGAGCTTGAAGTCGGCAGTAGTAAGACGTTTTAATGCTGTCAATTTTTGTTAAATATATATAGCACGAAAACTAGACTGGCAGGCTAGCCGTACTTAAGTATGGCTAGCCACTTCGATATTCTTTTTTGGCCACCTCTATTCTCACTCCCCTTTTAGCTATTATCACCCCGTGTGTCTTCACCTTCACCAGTGTAGTGTTCACCGAGAACCACAGAATTCTATTAAGTGTAGAATTCTGTGCCGTAAGCAAACCTTCCAGCGCTCTTCCGTTGAAAGCGTGCAATTTTTTCTGTGGGCAATGAGAGAGAAAGAGAGAGAGAGAGAGAGAATGGCGACCCGTGTAGTTAGGCTCAATTCGAAAAGTTAAATAGCCATAGCATCTTTGTAGACGAACAAATCAATTTACATTTGTGTTTTTTCATAATATAATTTTTTACGTTATTTTTAATTGTCAATTTGATCGTCCACACCGATAGACAGTATTCAGAAAGAGACAGAGAGAGAGAGAGAAGGAGTAGATCTTGCGAGAACTTCCGGTAAAGACAAAATGGTGACCTGCTAGTTCGGCTCGATTCAAAAAGTGAAATAGCCATTATAGCATCTTTGTAGACGACCAAATTAGCTTGTAACTTTTGATTTATAACGTCATTTTTTTCTTTGTTTTTGTCTATTTGATCATCAACACCGATAGACAATATTCCGAAATTAGGAAAAACAGATCTTATTTCACTTTTATTGCCTTCATTAAATCCAGCAATTTTATGACAAGTGAACAGAACATCTGGAAGATCGTGGAGATCTAGATCCAGATCTTGATCTAGGTCATCCTGCATGCAGTGCAGAGAGGCTGAGAAGAAGTAGAAGAGATCGTTTGTCCTTATTTTTGCTAGAATTCTGAAAATTCTCAATGTAAGTTGTAGTTCTGCTAATTGTTAGAAGTCTACACTAAAGTTAAAGCCTAAAAATCTTTATATTCTATGGAAGTGATTATTCACACCGGGTATGAGCATAAGATTTCATTTTATTCACACCGGGTGTGCGCATAAGAATTAATATTATTCACATCGGGTTAGCGAATAAGAAATAATTTTATTTGCACAGGGTCGAGCCTACGTTGATTTTGGACCTCGTTTGTCACATCCAGGTATCCCACCTTTCGGCAAAGGCTTTTAAAATGTTAAAACAACTGGACTCTAGATCTAGTATACTTGTTTCAGATTTAGGGTTAAAGTAAGCATGCACTCATCTCTCTCTCTCTCTCTCTCTCTCTCTCTCTAGCGCAAGGAAAACAGAAAAAAAAGATAAATATTTGAGTCATTATCATTGACACAATACACAACTTGAATTCCAATTTGAGTTGGGTTTTTTTGTATCGCATTGCACAATTAGAATAGATCTAGATCCATCCCTACCAAAGATAGATAACAAGATTCTTCACTCAGCCCAAAAAGTGTTCGCAGAAGTCAGCACATTGCTACAGATGGCTCTGGAGTCTTTGTTTTGAGGCCACCTCTATTCTCACCCCGGGTGAGAATAGCGAAGGCAAGTCTTTTGGCTATTCTCACCCGGTGGGCGTTCACCGTTTATAGTAGCCTAGGCCAACTAGAGAAGCGTTCACCCTGAGCCACAGAATTCTACACTGTGATAAAAACAAAATTGTAGAATTCTGTGCCGTGAACAAACGTTCTAGATCTATTACTACTGTTAGTGTTAGCCTAAAAGCATGCAATTTTGTCTGTGGGCAGTGGATAGAGAGAAAGAGAGAGAGAGAGGTCAGGAGTAGAGCGAGAACTTCCGGGCAAAACAAAATGGCGACCCGCGTAGTTCGGCTCGATTTGGAAAGTTAAATAGCCGTAGCATCTTTGTAGACGAATAAATTAATTAAATTTAGTTTTTTAATATCATTTTTCAACTTTGTTTTGGTCAATTTGATCGTCCACACCGATAGACAGTATTCAGAAAGAGACAGAGAAAGATAGAGAGAGAAAGGGGAGGAGTAGATCTTGCGAGAACTTCCGGGCAAAGCAAAATGGCGACCCGCAAAGTTCGGCTCGATTCGAAAAGTGAAATAGCCATAGCATCTTTGAAGACGATCAAATTAGCTTACTTTTGTGCTATAACGTAATTTTTTCTTGGCTTTTATCAATTTGATCATCCACACCGATAGACAGTATTCCGAAATGAGGAAAAACAGGTCTTGTTTCACACCGGGTGAGAATAGCCTACGTTGGCAAGTCTCACCCGGGGTAAGAGGTCGATCGTATTTTTATTCTCACCCCGGTTGAGGATAGCCACTTCCTTGTTTTGAAGCTCTTTCCTTTCTCCAGAAGAAGATTATAAGCACAGTCAGTTAATTTCACTTTTATTGTTTTTCACACAAGTCCAAGTAGGGTCTGTTTGCATAGTCCGCATTTTTTCGAAGTGGGCCCACCAAATTCTGAAAACACTTTTTATTTGGCTCAAAAAGAAGAGCCAACTATCTTGTGATCCATGATTTTTGTCCCTACGTGAAAGAGGATGAAAAAAGGAAAAATGAGGAAATGCTAGATCTAGATTATGTCCCTGTGCGAATAAAATTCTATAGTATTCACACACCCTGTGCAAATAACTACAGACTACAGCCATTCTATATATATATTTATATATATATATATATGTCAGGGGGAGTTCTTTTGGAACCGTGTCAATTCTAAAGTTACTTTAGTTTACCTTATCTCGGCCTCGGACTATAGAGTAGATCTAGAGATCAGGCCAGTCAAAAATAATCATGGCATGGCAATTGGTCCCACCGCCGCAATACAACAAAAGTCAAAATATTCACTCTACGTTTTAGTACTCTTCTTAGTCTTAAGAAAGACAAATCGCTTCTCGAGAAACATGAAAAGGTAAGATTGAAGAATACCGGTCCAGCGGACTGACTTTGCCTATGTCACAACCTTAAGAATTCATAATTTTCCCGTTTTTAATATCTCTCAATGGAGAATCTCGGACCGGTAGATCTATTCATTAAAATTTTGTCAGGG